CCTCAGATGTCTTCTAGTGCAGTGCCAGCAGAGTGGAGACCCCAGGGCAGAGAAGAGAGAAAAAAAACAAAAAACAAAAAACAGAAGAGCCAGCAGCAGGCTGGATTTCCTACACCCCTGTTTACTGAGTGTCACCCACCCACTCTGCCAGATGGAGAAAAAGAACCGAATGGCCTCTGAATGCCGCTATCCACCGGCTGTGCTGACCCCCCAAGAGCTACGTCTCAGTGTGATAGCTTAAGAGTAGGTTCCCTGAGGCCCAAGATCATAACCATGATTTGCCAAAAGGGCCTGGCAAAGAGGACTATCAGAGAAGATTGACTCAGTTTCCCTAATTCTCATTCAGCCACGTACCCCACCTCACCCCTGTCCCACCCCAAGCTGAGACAAGAGGCCACTTCCTAAGCATGGTCCTTCCCATCAGTCAGAACATTAGCCACTTCAGCCACCAACACAGAAAATATGAATCCAAGTTGACTCTGGCATTCCTGTAAATCCCAGCACTCAGAAGGCTGAGGCAGGTGAATCAGAGTTTGAAGCCAGCTTGGGCTACACAACTAGTTCTAGCCAGTCTGAGCTACAAAGATCCTGTCCAAAGGGGAAGGGAAAGGGAAAGAACAAGGGCCCACAGCTTTCCTCCAGGCCTGCAGTCACTCTTGACTTTGCTTCTTGTGGTGCAAATCATACTCTCTCAGCCCTCCCAGTTCTAAATGCCCGGTGAATCCCCTTGCTCTGAAGACCTTGACTCACAAGGCCCCTAGAGACCCAGGAGGTGCCACCTGGCTCTGGACCAAGCCTTGGCCTTCTCAGCTTCCACTCTCATGGATCCTCAAGTCCCTCCATGAGTGCCTGTGAGCCTGGCCCTGTCAGTCACTGAACAAGCCACTTGTCCAACACACCACTTGGTACTGTTTCTGTCCCACAAACACTTGGAGCAGCTGCCTCCACTCTCCCTAAAAGCTGCTCCCTACTGACTGACCCAAGCTTAACCCCATATCACTCTCTCAGGGAAGCCTACCCTGATCCAGCTCAGAGAATGCACAGAGCCTAGGTGGGGGAATGCCATGGTTAATTAGATGGACAGGCCTGAGATCACAACACTTGGACAGACAGCCAAACTTCTCTAGGCCTCAGTTTCAGCCTCTGTATAACAGAAGTAAAATGTTCTCCATTGGCTGAGGAGACAGAGAAGGCCTAAAGCTGTGTCTGTCACACACTCCATCCTCAGGATGTGAGACACACACACAAACACACACATGCACACACACATGCACACACACACCATGGTGCCCCATTGATATCTTTCTGGCTCTGTTACCAATTTATTATTGTTGTTGTTATTGTTACTATTCTTTAATTTTTTTTTTACAGTCCAGTCGTTATCCCCTTCCTGGTCCACCCTCTGACTGTTCCTCATCCCATTCCTCCTCTCCTGTCCCTAAGAGGATGTCCCCATCCCCTATCCCCACCCCACCAGAACTCCCCTCTCCCTGGGGCCATAAGTCTCTTAAGGGTTAGGTGCTTCTTCTCTCATTGAACCCAGACCAGGCAGTGTCTGCTGTATATTTGTGTGGGGGGCCTCATATCAGCTAGCATATGCTATCTGGTTAGAGGCTAAGTGTCTGAGAGATCTCGGGGGTCCAGGTTAGTTGAGACTGCTGGACTCCCTATGAGGTTACCCTCCTACTCAGCTTCTAGCCTTTCCCTAATTCAACCACAGGGGTCCCCAGCTTCTGTCCATTGGTTGGCTGTAAGTATCTGCATCTGGCTCTTTCAACTGTTTCTGGGCCTCTAGGAGAGCCACCATGCTAGGCTCTCGTCTGTAAGCACACCTAACATCCGTAATAGTGTCAAGCCTTGGAGCCTCCCCTTTAGCTGGATCCCAATTTGGGCCTGTCACTGGACCTCCATTCCCTCAGTCTCTTCTCCATTTTTGTTCCTGCAGTTCTTTTAGGCAGGGACTCTGTTACCATTTGATGATACATATCTCCTTCTTCAGAACACAGTTTGATAGAGATGGGGCAAAACTTGTTATCATATATTCTGGAACTGGCACAGGGGGTAGCACTCCAACAAAGACCCCTCTATCTCAGACAAACATCTCTGTCTCAGTGTAACATGTACTGTCTAACAGAAGGGCTCAGCTACAACCAGCAAACAGAATCCACCCACCAAGGCCGTGGCTTCCAGAGGCAGCATGAGCTTTTTAAGAGGCTGGCCCTACAAGGCATATAGCGAGAATTCTCACAGCAGAAGAAGCCGAGCTGGGTATCTACCCCTTTGCAGCAGACCGGTCTCCTCTGATGAACACGGGATGCTGTGGGCAGGAAGAGCCATTTCCTTGGAGAAGGGGGACAGAGCCATCCTTCCATATCTATTAGGAAAGAACAGAATCTTCTATGTAACCGTCCACATGGCAAGTCCACAGCACAGACGAAACCAGAGTCCAGTCCCGCCCACCTTCCAGCACCTTCCTAAGCTCCTTGGAACAGCCCTGGTGATGCTCTGGATTAGAAAACCTGCTTACTAGCTGGGTAGCCTTAAACAATTTGCCCCACCTCTCTGAACTCGGTTTTCTCATCTCTACATCATAGCAAAGGTGTAAGAATGTGTGTTAGGTCGCAGCTCAGGACCCTGGCCAGGCTGTCAGTAAGTGTTCACCATTCCTATTCACCAATGGGAATTAAGGAAGCTAAGAACTGCGTGTGTGTGTGTGTGTGTGTGTGTGTATGTGTGTGTGTGTGTCTCCATGTGTGTACACATGTGTGCTTGGATCAGGGTCCAGTTAAGGACAAAGTGCATTTTCTAAGAAACAGCTTACAAGACAGCACATCTCCCATAAGGCCTGGGGAGTGAAGCAGCCTTGCCCCCAGAGTGCTGAGACTTCAGAGTAAGCCTCTGGCCCAGCTTCTATCTGGGACCTGCCTGGACATGAAGCTCTGCATACCTTCAGGTCCCCTAGGCCTCCCTAAAACTGTCTACTCACCAAATAACAGTCGTGAGCAGTTAGACCCTGTCATAGGTAAGGGATGCAGTTACAGGGAACTCCCTAAAATTCTGTTTGAAACCCCAGTTCTGTCCCCACCAGGTGTGATGGCACATGCCTTTAATATCAGCATTGCAGAAGCAGGCAGAGCCCTGTGAATTTGAGGGCAGCCTGGTCTACATACTGAATTCCAGGATAGCCTGGGCTACATAGAAAACTGTCTCAAGAAAGAAAGGTAAAAAGAAAGAGAGGGGGAGGGAGAGAATGAGAAAGGGGAGGGACAGGAAGGGGGAAGGAGGAGCTGTCCCCTAGCCAGCATAGCAAGTCTCGCATTTGAAAGACTGAGATGAGAGGATCTCTGGTTCAAGGCTAGCCTGGGCTACATAGTAAGACCCTGTCTAGAAAGAAGGGAAAGGAGTTTTCCCTCTCAGATTCTCAGCATTCAGCTACCCAAAGGGACAAGGTCAGGGACATCTTTACCCCCACACTATACCATAACCAATCTCTGGGCTTAGTTCAAATGTCCTGTGGTTTACAAGCCTCTACTTCCCTAGAAGCCGCTGAGGGAGACCAGGGCCAGGTGGCACAGACCTCTCATTCCAGTACTCAGAAAGCTGAGTTAGCCACATCAGAATTTCACTGACAGACTGAGTTCCAGGACAACCTAGACACCTTAGACCCTGTCTTGAAAGGTAGAAAGAGAATGGCGGGTGTAAGTGGTGGGAGGGTGCTTCCTCAGAATGTGGGAGAGCCTACAGCACTGGCAGGGGGAAGCAACCACAATATCTAAGCAACTATAACCCCCATCCCCACTTTCAGCTCTGCCACTGCCTGGCCACTGCTCCACGACTGGAGTCAGCTGGGTCATAATGTCACTTTCTATATAATTGGCTTTGGATAGGGAAAGGCGGATGACTTTGCAGGGACCCTCAGAGCCTCTGTAGACTGGCATCATTAGACTCTGATTCCCACAGACAGACACACCCTCCCACGGCCACAGAGCTACCACCCTTCCCTCTGTGGACACTTTCCCTTAAGCTGCTCTTTCTATGCATCTTGCCAGCCAAGCCTTCTTTGCTCCCTCATTCCAAGGCCCTGGGTTGGGTGTCTCCTTTTCACTCTCACTTTGCAGTAAGTCTGTCTCCTGGCCCTTCTGGGCTGTTTTGTCCACACTGGAGGTCCCCTGTGTCTTTGAAAAGAGTGACTAAGGAAGGAAGCTATAAAGAGAAGATATAGCCCTTTGGGTTCTATGACTTACGATGAAAATACACATATAAACACGCGCTGAGTGCGCAACTGTCACTTACTGCCCCATGAACGTGTTTTATAAATCCATTGCCTGAACTGACTCAGTTCACTGTCACTGTCACAGTGCTCCTTGGAGACAGACCATCCCTGCCTTACTGAGGTGTGGACACAAAACATGACAGTTGCAAATTTAAATAGCTAATAAATGCTAGGGCCAGATTCCAGTGCAAGCCCTGTGACTCCAAATATGCCCACGTGTCCCCATGTAACAGAGGGGGGCTGATAGATTTTATATAAAGAAGTCAGGGAAGGTGTCACAGAGGAGGGGACTTGAAGCTGGGCTTTGACAGACGAGTAGGAGTTTGTGGAGGAAAGAGAACAGGAAAGACGTCCCTGTTGAGAAAGCTAAGTGTGGCAAAGGTCAACAGTGTGAAATGGGACAATCCAGGAGGCTGGCTGTGTCAGGGCAAGAAAACATGGAGGCCAAAAGGCAGGATGGCTGGGGGGGATGAAGCCTGAGTGTGTGACAGGGTGCCGGAGTCTGGTCCTAAAGGTCACGGAGCGTCTTTAAGGGACTATTGGCTGGGCAGGGATCCTCCTTCCTCCCCTTTCTCACTCTGCCAAACCATGGAGACACCAGTGCTGTATTCCTGAGGCCCTGGCCCTTGCGTACTGTCCCCCCACGCCCACATGGCCTCCCTGCATCACCTTTTATCATCCAGCCCTTCTGCCCCTCACTGAGGCCTCTGTGCTCTATGTTCCGCAGGGGCTGTGAGGGCCTCGAGTATCTTCCCGATCCTGAGTGTGATCCTGCTCTTCATGGGTGGTCTCTGCATCGCAGCAAGCGAGTTCTACAAGACACGCCACAACATCATCCTGAGTGCGGGCATCTTCTTCGTGTCTGCAGGTAAGGCAGGGATGTGCAGCGAGGGGACAGGGTGGGCATCTCCTGGTCTAGCTACAGACTGTGCCCAAGGGAAAGGTTGAACTGAGGGTCCAGTGCATAGACCCCTACTCCCACGCCCAATACTCCATCTTCCTCCTACCACTGAGGAAAGGGCTGGTACCCCTGTAATTTTCAGGGCACCAGGCCCACCCACCCCACTTGCCCTCTGCCCTTCCAGAACAAGCAAAATGAGGAAGAGGCAGAGAGACTCCAAGTGACGCACTCTGCCCCATATGATACCCTGCTGCATCCCGGAAGACAAGAAAGCCTGCCCACCTCTCATTCCCCCAGCTAGGAAAGCAGACAAGCAGGCCGGAAGCCAGATATCTGTGCTGTTACATGACCTGTCACAAGGGCTGCAAATGGGCAGAGAGTGACAGGAACTGTATCATGAGCCATTTAATAAGCCTGGCTACCACCTAAGGACACCAACCATGTCCATGGCTCACTTTTACCCAAACAAACAAAGTTTAAGGCTTGAGATAGGAAGAGGAGGCTTCCAGACCACTCGCTCCCTCAACCCTACGCCCCAGGTCCATCTGTTCAAGGAGACCCAAGATCAAGCCCCACCCCATGCCTCTCCTCCCCCTAGCATCTCAGGCTCTTCTCTCTGACTCCATCTTCCCCTCCAGGTCTAAGTAACATCATCGGGATCATCGTGTATATATCAGCCAATGCTGGAGACCCCTCCAAGAGTGACTCCAAAAAGAACAGCTACTCCTACGGCTGGTCCTTCTACTTCGGGGCCCTGTCCTTCATCATCGCCGAGATGGTCGGGGTGCTGGCCGTGCACATGTTTATCGACCGCCACAAACAGCTGCGGGCCACGGCCCGCGCCACCGACTACCTCCAGGCCTCCGCCATCACCCGCATCCCCAGCTACCGCTACCGCTACCAGCGCCGCAGCCGCTCCAGCTCGCGCTCCACCGAGCCCTCTCACTCCAGGGACGCCTCGCCCGTGGGCGTGAAGGGCTTCAATACCCTGCCGTCCACGGAGATCTCCATGTACACCCTCAGTAGGGACCCCCTGAAGGCTGCCACCACGCCCACCGCCACCTACAACTCGGACAGGGATAACAGCTTTCTCCAGGTTCACAACTGTATCCAGAAGGACAGCAAGGACTCTCTCCACGCCAACACAGCCAACCGCCGGACCACGCCCGTATGAAGACCGTGGGATGGGGGGGCCTCCCGGGAAGCTTGGCCTGCGAGTGGGGGAGGGACCACAGCAGCCACGGGGAGACCTTCCATACGCAAAAAAAACAAAAAAACAAAAAAAACACAACAAACAAACAAGCAAACGAACAAACAACAAACAAAACAAAAACAAAAAAAGAGAAAAACATAGCAAGTAAATTAAAAAAAAAAAGAACAAACTACAAGAAGAACAAAATCAAAACCACAGGCTATGCGGGGGGAAAATATAACCGAGGGAAGACAAACTTTAAACAAAGCAAGAGGGATAAAATTAAAATAGAGAATAAATCTAAAAGAAAATGCATGATTTCCCATGTACCATTATTTTAACATTTAATAAAAACCAATTTAAATGAAAAATAAAAGGGAACCAAGATAACGTAAAGCAAAAAAAAAACAAAAAACAAAAAAAAATAACAAAAAATAACAAAAAAAATGAGGAAAGCAAGAGAGTATTTATTAGGGTTTTATGTTGCCTTTGTTTTTGTTTTTTGTTTTAACTGCAGGGAGAGTTTAAAAATAAAATAAATAAAAATAAATAAAAAACGCATTCTTTTCCCTTTAACCCCAGCAGGCCCTGCCTCCCGGGGAGAGTAAGGGGTAGAGATTCAGGGGCCCCAGGGCCAGGGGAGCAATGGTCACTGCCAAGCCCCTGGATCCCTGGCCAGGCCCTAGGATGCTGAAGAAGTTCAATGGCTCTGCAGCCAACTCTACCCAGCACCAATGGGGCAGTTGCAGGCCTCCAGGTGACCCAAGCCCTTGGTCCGCCCCTGTCCGTTAGGTGCCTGGAGGTGGTGCACTTGGGGCTCCCCGGCCCCAGGTTCCTGTCCTTAATGGTCCTTAATGGTCCTTAACCCACTGTGATGACTTCCTAGGCCTTGAGGAAAGGGAAGGAGAAGGAATGGCTGCTGGTGGCTCACAGAGAAGCCAGATCCCTGGAATCCTCAGGAGGAGCCTTGGGGGGGGGCTAGTAACCCCGAGTTCCTGTCCTTGAAGGCAGGAGACACCCACTCCCCAGGGGATATAGAGCAGCCGTCCCTCCTCACCCCTCACCTCAGGGCCACTAGATGACCCTGGGGCGATGGTGGACCCCACACTCACAGGCCCCCAGCCCCCTGGGAAGGGGGCTCTTTGACCCTTTGGGGGTCCGTGGACTCACTGATGCCCCTCTGGGGGCCTGGGGAGTCCAACAACGACATTGCAAAAAGGTTTCTTTTTACAAAAGAAAAAGGAAAAACAAGCGGTGATTTTTTTTAAAAAAAAAAAATAAAAAAACCACAGGCTATAAATAAATGTAAAGACATAATAAGTGAAGTTACTTGCAGGAAAATCAAGTATTTTTTTCTTTTAATTCTTTTCCAGCTTTAAACTGTGAAAACAAAACTCGGGGTGGGGCGGGGGACTTAAAATTTAGCAGGGAACTTATAAAGACAAAACAAAAACAAATATAGAAATCCATTAAAAACAAACAAACAAAATCCATTGGGAAAGATGTGAGCTGGGCACAGAGCCAGAGAGAAAAGGAGAAAGGCCCCGCCATCTTCCTGGGGATTGGAGAAAGTCTCTTCTTGCCTACAGGGAGGTGCTGCTGACAGAGGGAGGAGACCCACGCGCACACCTCTACCTACGGTCACGCCCACAGCCACTGTCCCCTAGGCTCAGTGTTGCAGCAGCCACCCAAGGTCATGCACGCCCTTTGAAAACTCTTCCCATCCAACACCCAGTCAGGAGTGTGGCTCAGAGGCAGCTGATCTGTGCCCTCCAAAGCCATGGAAACCAGCCCAACTCCATCACCAGCCTCTGTGCTCCTGCGTGCCACGCACTGTACCTTGCATACGTGTGAATGCACCATATTCTTGTACATGGAAGGGCTCCTGTCTATATTCTTGACGTCCTGGCTGTGTGGCCTCTCTGGGCCTCAGCTTCCCACTGTGTCAGCCTGTGGACAGACTGGCTTGAGATTCCAAAGGCTCATTCTTATCTTTTGTGTCTGTGACTTTTAAGATCTGCCACCAGCCCAGCTTAGTGGAAAAATGGCCAGGAGCAATCACAGCAGTCCTGATGACATTAAGAACATTCCTAAATAATCTCTCTCCCTCTCTCTCTCTCTCTCTCTCTCTCTCTCTCTCTCTCTCTCCTCTCTCCTCTCTCCTCTCTCCTCTCTCTTATACACACACACACACACACACACGCACACACACACACACACATAGACACCATGTGCCTCCTCACTGTGTTCCCCAGACCCCACCCCCACATCCAGTATCAAAGCAAAAATTCACACATGTGAGCAACCTATCCTGCCATGCAGACAGAGGGAGACTCTCGAAGTTCTGAAATCTCCTCATTCGTCTTCCCTTTTTGAATGGGTATAACCCCAGTCGTCGTGAGTGGGGGAGGCTTCTTCAAGAGATGGGTCTCCTGCTATCTTTGAGGTCAGTGAAAAAGCAGGCCTTCTGGGGTGAAAGGTCTCCCTATATGGAATGAATGTTTGCAGAACACTCTCCAGGGCAAGGATCAACCCAGTTAGGCCTGCACCCCAGAGTGAATTGAGAGAGTGCTCAGGTTTCCCCTTTTCCTTCCCCAGAGTGGCAAGGGCCAGATCAGACAATGAGAACCAAGCTAAACATTTCCTAGCAACCTCACCCCTCCCCCAACTCTAAGGGAGAGCCTGCTCCTCCAGCATTAACCAACCTCCTGCTTGTCTTTGCTACCCTGACACCCGCCTGCTCTGAAGGTTCTCTGCTGGAACTCTCTGGGAATTGGAGGGCATGCTGAGGAAAGCTTCTATAGCTTCTAGTCTTGTGTCTGGAAGAGGAACATTCTTCTCCCAGCTCAGCTGCAAGACAGACCACCTGCTAGGTCAGGCTAGAAGTTCAGGGGAGGCCTCCGACACCATGATTCAGATATGTGGGCCAGTTAACATGCAGGGAGATCAGAGTATCTTCCAAACTGGGCAAAAACAGCACCTTGTCCCTCCTCAGCCCTGCCCAAGGCCCAGCAGATTCCAAACCATACCAGATAAAGGCCTAGAGACACAGGAAAGGGTCCTGCAAACAAGCACCTCTCTATGGAGAGCTCCTTAAGCTCTGGTCAAGTATTTGAGCACGAATCGGACTTCTTCCCAGGAAGTGAGACCTGGGGGTCAGGCCACCCAAACAAGACTCATGGGTGAGAGGTAACATCAACATGGCTGACCAAGAAATGGCTAGGGGCCCTGGAGGGAAGGGGCAGCGCTTCCTGTGGTGACTGTCAGCTCATACCCAGCTCTGATCAATTCAAAAAAAAAAAAAAAAACCAACTTCTTCCATTTTATTTTCTTGGTGGGTTCTTATTTTTTTTTCCAGACTGTTAACAGAAAAAAAATTTTAAAAAGAAGAAACCTAAAAAGAAAATGAAACAACGAGAAAACAAAATCCTGGTACATGAAATAAAGATTTTTTTTTTTTATAGCTTGGTCCTCACTTCCTTGAATCGCTGTCCCAGCTCGGGCATCCCATTTAAACGAGTACTCAGAGTTGATGGGTGATAGAACACAAGCAGTAAGGTGTCCCAATGTCCAAAGTCATGAATCCTTTCTCTTCAGCATCCCTCATGGCCTCCAGTGATATGGGGCTCACCCCCTCCAAAGGTGGCAGAGGCCAGTGCCACACAGCTCTCTGACAAGTCCCTGTGGTCACTGTCCATCCATTCCCTCCATGCTCCAGCAACATTGGTCCTTTCCAACATGACTGCCCCCATCTTTTTGTTTTGTTTTGTTTTGTTTTGTTTTGTTTTTGGAGACAGGGTTTCTCTGTATAGCCCTGGCTGTCCTGGAACTCACTCTGTAGACCAGGCTGGCCTCGAACTCAGAAATCCACCTGCCTCTGCCTCCCAAGTTCTGGGATTAAAGGCGTGCGCCACCACCGCCCGGCCGACTGCCCCCATCTTTAAAAGCAGAGATTACACCATTCTTAAACTCTCCCCTTTTAATAAGCCCCACCCACCTCCCCAATCTACATACCACTACCACCTTGTGTGCAGCCTGAAACAGACATGATGCTGGGGTATGTTCTGAAGGCTTTCTACAGAGAGAACCAGGCAGGGGTTGGCAGGAATGGGGAGGGTCTTGTAGGAGCTCCTCAGCTTGACAAAGTGGAAAAAAAAAAACAAGCAGGAACACTACAGGGGGTGGAGGTTTGAACTTGACCTTGGAGAGAGGCCCCATCCTGGCTGGTGGAGATCAAGGCCAGCATCAAGCCCGGGCTGGTCAGCTCATGAAAGGAGGGCCTTTAACACTTCTAAAAGTGAATTGGATCTGTTGAATTTGTTTCATTTCTAGCTTTAAAATCTGTGATGACAGACAGGATTAGAAAAAAGCAGGGGTTTCATATCAAATCAAGACTTGGAAAGTATAGACCAAAGCCAGGCGTTGGTGGCTCACACCTTTAACCCCAGCACTTGGGAGGCAGAAGCAGAAAGATCTCTGAATTCGAAGCCATCCTGATCTATAGAGTGAGTTTCAAACCACCCAGGACTACACATAGAAACCCTGTCTTTAATATAAAAGAAGGAGAAGAAAGAGAAGAAGAGGAGAGGAGGAAGAGGAGGAAGAGGAGAAGGGGGGCAGAAAAGAAAACCAAAACCTGTTACACAGTTGGAGTTTGGAAAGGGTTCTTTAAGCATATCCCTTTTACCCAGTGCTGGGACCAGACCCACGACACCATCCATGGATGCTAGGCAGGCACTCTATCAACTAAGCCATCCCCCAACCTGATAACTAGTTTGATAACCCACCCGCCTGACACCTTTCTGAATCTGTTGCCCTTGACCTAGATATAGGTCAGGTGGATGTGTTGTGGATGAAAACAGGGCCAGGTTGATTTATAGTGGAGCCATTAGCTTGCCAGCCAGAGCTCCAAGTACCACACTGACAGCCATCATCACCACTGCCACAAGAGATGTTAAAATGGGTGGCATTTACTTGTTTGCTTTATTGGTATTATTGGAAGATGGCACACATACCATAAGCCCAACTCTTATATGTATCTGGGGATTCAAACTCATGTCTTCATGCTTGTGCAACTAGCGGTT